TGATTTATTTTTTTTTTTTTTTTTTTTGGCCTATGCAAAAATTGGACGTTATTTTTATTCCTGGCTCACAAACGTGGAGTGTTCGTCTTCAACGGGAAGTTAATGCTGGTACATGGCTATCTTAGCACTGTCCCACTCCCTCTATTCAAATGTCATATCGATCGACATCTTCTGATGCTTTGATCTTGATCCCCGTCCTCCTCTTTATCCTTTCCTCAAACACCCCTTTTTACTCTTACTTTCACTCTCTATAACCCCCTTGCGTACTAGTGGCAATCCCGCTTTGCTTGGGGTGAAATGCTTAAAATAAAACGTAAATTTTCAGCACGGCTGGAAATTGAACAGCCATTTAAACCAAATATGTTTGAACCAAAACGCTAAACATCTCAACCATATATTTCTAATTCCGTCACCTTAAACCTGCTGTCTGTAGTCAGGTAATGGGGGTTTAGGTACAATTTGTAGCTTTACTCAGATGACGAAATTCTACTTCAGTTTCTCTTGTTTTTTAATCAGAGGCTTCCAGATGGTATTCTTTTCTTTTTTCTTTTTTTTTCTTAGCTAAAAGGACTTTTTGCATCTGATATTCAATTCGTTTAAGATTTCTCTGCATAAAAATAGGAATACTGCCTCATGCGAAATCGTTTTCTCTGAAAGGAAATGTCCTGGTAATAACTATTTGAACATATTTTTTTCGCAGGATCTGGATGATCGTATATACGCATGCGTCGTAATTAACTCGACTCTCTTTGAACCGAAAAAAAAATGACGCCATGTTGCCGTAAAGGGATGCCGCAAAGTGTCGAGAAGAAGCCTCAAATGCCAACGTAGATGTAATCACCGAACAACATGTGGAAAGTAATCACATTAGAGCGGATCACGGCTAAGGAAAAAAAAAATATATATATACATTTATTAACCCTGCGTTAATCACACAAGGTGCTTTGTTACCCCCAAACTTTTTAAGTACTCGTAATTCTAAGTTGACAACTTGTTTCTTTTGCTCCATCCCAGTACTCTCCTGAGGGTGTGTAGCATGCGTTGTGGCGCAGTTGTAGCTCAGTTGCCGTGGGAGGCAGACGTTACTTTGTCATTAGGGTTTCCTGTCACCTCAGCTGACTAACGAAGTGAAGTTTTCATGACTTATATTTTTTTCATATTATACACACACACACACACACACACACACATACACACACACACACATATATATATATATATTATGTATGATGGACTCTCCTTCGTTTCGTAAAACTTATAGTAAGACGGGAGAGTCCATCTTACATAAAACAGGGAATTACTTTTCTATCACTCTGTATGTTATTGCTCTTTCAGTCATTTAAGTTTAGCTAATGAAATAACGTTCTATTCAAGGAAAATATATTGTGGCTATTTTTTATCAATAAATTCTCTATTTTTGTATTGGTGAGTTTCACCTACAATTTACAACATATGTTTATGCAAGAAATTTATTATAATTTTCATTTCAATAAAATAATTATATCTTCAGTTCAAGTTTAGATTTAATCCTTTCAGCCATACGTTCCTGAACAATTTTAACCTTTCTGCCTGATCCCCTTAGTCAAAATTCGCAAATAATTGGTATGTAATGTTTCACGGTAGATATAAAAATAGTTACAAGTGTTTACACGTCGTTCAACCGGTGGTTGGGCATTACGTCATTTTTCTCTACCACCGGTAAAGCGGTGGTCAAGGCTCAAAGGTTTAATGTACATTGTAACAGAGATTAATTATGCTATCTTTTTAAGAAGTACGACAAGAATTTACCTAATTCTAATACTATAAGCATTTTTGTATTGGGGTGTGAAAATACCCAGAGGACTATTTATTTTTGGAATTCCGAAATGAATAAGGCTGGGTTAAATAATTATGTTCAGCCAGAGGATGAATTGACATATGTCCATCGAAAGGTAATACCACGAATAAAAAAAATAATGCCATGTCTCTTCGGGATATAAGCGATCATTATTCTCCACAGAATCCTTTTCTTTATTACCACCGAAGCTATTTGACTAATAACCGTGTAAAAGAAGATATGGATTCATGCCTTTCCCAAAAGTGGATCTCCACAGATGCCCTTCTTTATTATTTGTGTATTTCTTTTCTTTCTTGAGAATGATAGTGGAGTTGTTTGCCGTTGTTTCGCCACGGTTCAAAATTCAAAATTTTCCTTCTCTTAGACTGGTTGCCACCCGAGCTATTTAATCCGCAGCTGGGGAATAAAAGAGACAGATCCATGTCTTTTCCAAACATGGATCCTTATTCTCCACAGATTCTGTTTCTTCATTATCTGTGAATTGCTCAGTATTCTTGGGAGAGATATTGCAATGGTTTTCCTTTCCTTCTCCACTGTTTGAAGTTCAGAGTTTTCGTAGACTGGTTTCCAGCCAAGGCAATAGAGTTTAGTCTCTTCTGTTATTTAACAGGGATGAGGAGAAGAGATTATTAATGCCTTTCTCAGGCGTATTTGTGCGAAATTAAAAACGTGTGTGCGTACGCACGCGTGCGTACGTGTGTGTGCGTTCTATTTATTAACCTTTAAATCCTATTGTTCCACTAGTGGAACATTTTTTCCAGCCATTTTTCCAGACATTTTTTCCAGACGATCATTCATTGTATTTTAGCACATGTAAACACTTATATTTATATTTTTGTCTTTTCTGTGTTTATTATCCATAGGATAATCAAAATGAATCCTTGTTTAGTATTAGAAAAATTATCTTAAATTACGAGGGTGGGCTGAAAAGTTCATAGGCTGACTATGAACGAATGATGCAAAAGCGGCGAAATCTTACATGGATTAATTTCAACTGTTGTTAGTTTCCCTGGGTGTTTGGTCTTGATAACCTTTCGTAACTGCAAGTTGATATAGTACTCTCCATTGATGGTGTAGCCCTTTTGAAGATAGCCAATAAACACAATGCCTTTTGCCTCAGAAAAAAAAAACTGAGGGTACATTATCAATAGAGTCTGCTATGCCAACTCGCTGAGACAGTTAAAAAAGGCGGTCAAGAGCAGACGCCCAGGAAAACGGACAAAAAGATTTTTGTTTCATCCGAACTATGCTCCAGGATGTTTCAGTAGCTGCTGTGCTTGACTTTGGTTTTGAACTATTTGATCATCCTCCTTATTCTACTGAGTTGATTATCATCTGTTCCTCAACATGAAAACATACTTGGCTGGGAACTAGTATCGTAGTGATGATGACGTCATATCTGCTGTTGATGACTTTCTTTGGTCAACAGTCTTCTTTGAACAGTAAGATGTCAGTTTAGCTGGAAAGAAATAGTTCAGTAGATAAGAAGAGCTGAAATTAATGCATGCAAGATTTCACTGCTCTGGCATCACTCCTTTACTAGTGGAATAAATGTGCTAAGAGAGTGCTAAGACATACTGACTTTGGTCGTGTAGTCGCTTCAGATAGATAGATAGATAGATAGATAGATAGATAGATAGATAGAAACAGCGCCATGTAGATAGATAGATAGATAGATAGATAGATAGATAGATAGATAGATAGATAGATAGAAACAGCGCCATGTAGATAGATAGATAGATAGATAGATAGATAGATAGATAGATAGATAGATAGAAAGAAAGAAACAAATGTTCTATTCCCCAATAATGAAAAAGATAGATAGATAGATAGATAGATAGATAGATAGATAGATAGATAGATAGATAGATAGATAGATAGATTAAATATTCTATGTCCCTCTTCCTTTCAGTATGTCATGTGAGTGGCAAAATCTCTTCCTTTCTATGTATTTCTATTGTCTCTTTCTGATCCTAATAACAAGTGTCCTTTTTGTTTCTATTTTCTCCAAAACTACCTCGTTGCTCACATGCTCGGTTCATAGTATTCTCAGCATTCTTCTGTAGAATAATGAACAGATAGATAGATAGATAGATAGATAGATAGATAGATAGATAGATAATGAAAGAAAGAAAGAAAGAAAGAAAGAAAAGAAAGAAAGAAAGAAAGAAAGAAAGAAATAGCTCCGTATACATACTTACATACATACATACAGAAAGCAAATAATAGGATGTCATCAGTGTGGCAAGTCAAATTTAGAAATTGCTAGTTTTCTTCCAGGTTAATCATCAAACAGTTTACAATATTGTCAAATTTAATGAAGAAGGCCATTGTCGTGTGGAACAACGTTCAGAAAGATCAAGCATCATGTCTGAGCAAACAAAAAGGGTATTGAATAGGGAAGCTATCAGAAACCGTCGTCAGAGCGTCAAAGATGTCGCCAACAGCATGCAAATATCGCCATATCCGGTGAGAAAGACTTTGAAAAAGCTAGGCTATCAAAGAAGAGTTGCAAGTAAGAAGCCCCTGATTTCAGAGATTAACAGGTACAGGTTTATGTTTGGAGAAATCAGAATGAGACTTGGAACACTGAATGTCTACAGGTGATTGTGAAACATGGAGTCATTGGAGTAATGGTATTGGGCGCTGTCTAATTTGGAGGAAAATCTGAGTTGATTCTTGTTATCCAAAATACTGTCAAATATTAGAGAAAGGAATACTCCTACTATTTAAAACCAATCAGATTGACAAGTATGTCTACCTTTTTCAAAAAAATGGAGCGCCATGTCATATGAAAAAAGTAGCAAAGTCCTGAAATGAATCGCAAGGAATCAAGTCACTGTCATGTGTAGTCCAAAATCGTGACATAAATCCAATAGAGAACGTTTGGGAGCACCTTAACCGAAGACTTCGAGAGCATGCAAGAAAATCATGTCAGTGGCAACCCTTAAAGAAACATTGCTAAAGGAGTGGCAAAATATGGCTCAGACGATTGTTGATAACTTGATCAAATCCATGAAAAATCGAATACAAGCACTGAAACTAGCAAATGGAGGACCTACTCTATACTAGATCCAAATATTGTTTGTTTATGTTGAATAGGGATTACGTAATTAAATTTTGAAATTGGATCAAGTTTATTTCTCCTGGCTAAAAACTTATCTTAGGCCACTGTAGATAGATAGATAGATAGATAGATAGATAAATAGATATAAACAAATTCTCTACTTTCAAAAATGAAGATATATATATATATATATATATATATATATATATTGAATTTCCCCCCATGCAAGGCGGGAGTGCCACTAGCACGCAAGGGGTTACTGAGAGTGAAAGTAAGAGTAAAGAGGAGTTTTTGGGAAAAGGATAAAGAGGACAGGGATCAAGGTCAAAGCATCAGAAGATATCTATTGACATTACATTTGTATATTTGAAGATTTTAGCTCTTAGGGAAACAAGTAAGAGGAAGGGAGTTTCACTGTCGGGAAGTGCGAGAGAAGAAGCTGTTGGAGTAGAAGAGGTGGTTGCATTTAACCGTTTCGACAGTGAAAGGGTGGGACCGACATGCCAACCTGGTAGCACGCTTATATTCATGTAGTTGGGGCACCAGTGAATATAACTGAAAAGAAAAGTTGCCATGAAAATATTTGTAGAAAAGACAGAGGGAAGTCACATCACTTAGATAGATAGATAGATAGATAGATAGATAGATAGATAGATAGATGCAAATAAATTGTTCCAGATACATACATAGATGTGTATAGATGGCCACTCGTCTATTTGGGCGGCTAGACAATCCTTATTGTAGACGCTTGCTCAGACGCATTTGTGTTTATTCAAGAAACAAACCAGTACGATCAAACCTTCGGCCACGATGACTTGGTGTACCATCTATACATTTCCACACACAAGGTTTGGGTCAACATATGCTATGTTTTTCAGGCACTTTCCAATGGTGCCGCACACTGGGATCGACCTCTCCAATCCGATATCGTCAGGAAGTTTCTTTCCTGACAAATCGACCATGGTGAGATTCGAACCCGGGACTCATGTTCAGAATGCGAACGTTCTAACCACTTGGCCCATACATAAAGTATTTGTTGGGAATTATTCAGGGGCATATTTCTTTTTTTTTTAGTATTTGCTGATGACTTTCCAATGTGTTTCGCGCATTTGTGTCCCTCATCAAGTTTTTAAGTTCTTTAGTAATATTTGTCTTCATAGTAATCTCGAAATAGTCGTGCTGAGACTGTTTTCATATTTTTTTCAAAACCTACTGAGGATCATAAGTATTATTTGTTAAAAATCTAATATTAACCAAGATAATAATAGACAAGTGGGAAGGAAGGAAGGGAAGAAGGAAGAAAGGGTGGAAAGAAGGAAGGAAGGAAGGGTTTATGATAGTTGGCGAGCAAAATAATGAACAGTGTAAGATAGATAGATAGATAGATAGATAGATAGATAGATAGATAGATAGATAGGTTAAATCTTCTTCTATGTCCCTCTTCCTTTCAGTATGTCTTGTGGGTGGCAAAATCTCTTCCTTTCTATGTATTTCTATTGTCTCTTTCTGATCCTAATAACAAGTGTCCTTTTTGTCTCTATTTTCTCTAAAACTACCTCGTTGCTCACATGCTCGGTTCATAGTATTCTCAGCATTCTTCTGTAGAATAATGAACAGATAGATAGATAGATAGATAGATAGATAGATAATGAAGAAAGAAAGAAAGAAAGAAAGAAATAGCTCTGTATACATACTTACATACATACATACAGAAAGCTATATATGAGGATTTGTTCAGGCAAAGAAAGAAAGAAAGAAAGAATGAATGAATGAATGAATGAATGAAATAGCTCCATATACATACTTACATGCATACATACATAAAACTATATATGGGGATTTGTTCAGGCATAGATAGATAGATAGATAGATAGATAGATAGATAGATAGATAGATATGAAAGACTTTAGATAGATTATCCCACTATAACAAATGATCTATAAGTGCCTTTGTAGACTGTATAGAGCTTGCAAATTATCCCGATATGAGTCCATATGATTAGATATATAGATAGATAGATATAAACAAATTCTCCACTCTCGGAAATGAACATAGATTAAACATATATTAACTGAGTACTCAGACCTGGTTCTCTCAAGACAAAAATGTTATAATATAAACAAATTGTTTGGGCTCTTCGAGAAAGCAAAAGTGGGTGACATAATATTATTTCTTAAAGCAGTGGGCCTCTACCAAAAAATATAAACCAAATGAGAATTTCAATAAAATCAATTTTTATACAAACTGTATATCTGAAAAGAATACATCATACTTATAAAACCCAGGTTGTGTGTGTGTGTGTATGTACGTTTATATATTGGATCGCATTTCCTACATTTTTCAACCAATTTCAACAAAACTTCACAGGACTACGTAAAATTACCTTGCGGTGGTTCTGACAGCACCAGAAATTGGAAAAACACAATTGTTTTTGCACGAAATCAATTTGAAAACACGATTAAGAGGCATCGCGAGAATGAAAGCGGGACAACTCATATCGATTTATACTTATAAAACCCAGGTTGTTTGTGTGTGTGCGTGTGTGTTCGTTTATATATGGGATCCGATTTCCTACATTTTTCAACCGATTTCAACAAAACTTCACTTTTTTTTTTGGTAGATAATGTTTCTTATTGTCTTGCACACTTTTTTCTTTATTTTGACATTCAGAATGCTTTAAAAATTCCATTTACAAGGCAATTGTTTATAATAAAATTTTATTCAATCGGTAGACTCATAACGATTGAAAACAATGTTTTTGTTTGAGTTTGGATTTGACCAATTCGTAAAAAAAAAATAAAAAATGTAATTAAGACATGCGTGTCCGTCAACCTTAAACAATAATCTTTGTCAATTTTATTTTTCAGTCTTTATGATGGTCGATACTTGATCTATCTGTTACTGTTACATCCCCGGGCAATGCCGGGCTCTACTGCTAGTCTATAATAAAAATTAAAACTGTCCCAATTCAGGGTTTGGGGATTATGGAAGCCAATATGTAACACTAATAACAGATTTAGTGTTAGAGAAAAGGAAATTGAAAATAGGCAGCGCCGGAGCTAGTTTCGCCCAACACCGAAAATTGCTACAAAACCAAAAAATCAAACAGAACACTTGAGTCTTGTACTTAAATCGTCACGTCAGATCGAGATGTTCATGTGGATGTTATTCATGGCACAAGAATCGTTAAGAAATACCTAAAGAATAAGCTGTATACAAGCAATTTTCAGATCAATGATTAAAAGTTGCTTCGATTAAATGAAGCAATGAAAATCCATCTTCAGAACGCGCACTATAGAATCATAAAAAAAAACTTTTCTTCTAATAATTGATACTTAATCCTTTCTTTGAACAATTGACAGTTAATCCTTTCTTCTAACTAGAACTATTCGAACTAATAGAGGATGATTAATCCTATTCTTCAAATAATAGACGGTTAATTCTTTCCTCTAAAAATGGAGGTTAATCCTTTCCTCGAACAATTATCGGTTAATCCTTGTTACTAACAATTGGTGGTTAATTCTTTCTTTAAAAATGTGATGTTTAATCCTTTTCTTCTAACAATTGATACTTAATCCTTTCTTCTAATAGTTGATGGTTAATCCTTTCTTCGAAGAATCGATGGTTAATCCTATTCTTCTAACAATTGTTAATTCTTTCCTCTAATAATGAAAGTTAATCCTTTCTTTGAACGCTTGACAGTTAATCCTTTTTTCTAACGATTGGCAGTTAAGTCTTTCTTCTAAAAGTTGACGTTTAATCCTTTTATTTTAACAATTGATAGTTAATCTTTTCTTCTCGCTTTTATCCATTATCTTAACTATGAGTTTATGCAGTTATATTTCAGTGTTTGTCATCAACTCGTTTCCCGCTCCGTATCTGATACTGTTAACCCTAGAACAATAACCATGAGTACCCTGCGCAAATTTTCCTATTTGTAATTACAATTTTCAGTACCTGATTTTCTTACCTAAATAATATGTTTTTCAGTTCTTATTAATATTGACTCAAAGTACAAAGTTTGAAGTGCCTGCATGTAAAATATTTCAAATAAAGATTTATATTTAATATTTTTTTTGATATTTTCAAAATCGGGTATGCAGGACAGACTGGGTTCTATAGCCTTGGATGGCAACTGGTCTAGGAGAAGGAAAACTCTGAATTCAAACTTGCTCTTAGAGGAGGGTGAATGGAGTCTCTCTGAGCCTTGGTTGGCAATCCATTTAGTGTTGGTGTCACGATAAAAACACCCTTGATAGCCCTAGCGAAGCATCAAGAATTCAGCTATTTGACAAGATTATGAACTACACCAATAAAAGTATTGGTGAGTTCAATCTCGGCTGTGGCCGCAAGATGATGATGATGATGATATACCCATGGTTAATAGTGGTGTAACTTTTATTGATGATTAGTTATCTAGGGTTAAGATCATATTCACCATTAAAGAAATGCAATACAAACACAACGGCACAAAATTATGGCCAGTTAAAGAAAGCTATAGAAATTAATAACAGAATAAAATAAATCTAATAATATTGAAAATATATTGTCATTTTCATTGATAATATTGACAATATAATGATGTGATAATAATTTTAATAACCGTAAATTCAAACACGAATGATAACCGGGAACGATATTTAAACTCGCTCATTAATAGAGAAACTAAAGAGATTAAATAAACTCTACCTTCTCAGCTTATTCTCAATGAATTAACTTAGATGACACAGTAAAGATGGTCGATATGAGCCGACGGAAAAGATCTCATAAATGTAATTTCCATAATTATACCGCACGAAGCTGCCAAATATTAGCACAACACACCATAATTAAAAAAAATAAAAAATAAAAGTCTTATCGACCAAAGAAAAAGAAACTAAGATGTCAACTTTGTATTGGAGATGTCAACAACAATAAAGTACAGAGGATTAAGTATCTGAGAAATGTTTTAACAGAAGATGAACTAGATAGATGCAACCGCCACTTCTACTGTAACACTTTCATTTCTCGCACTTCTCACCTGCGGAACTCCCTTCCAATTTCTAGCTTCCTTGATAAATACAAACTTTAAAATTTTAAAGGCAACGTCGATAGCCATCTACTGTCTTCTTTGTTTTAATCAGTCAGTTAGTCATGTGCAATGCGTGACACGCTTAGGCGATCATGTATCTTTCGATACATGACTGACGAGGCAGATTATTTTCTTTTCCCGCGGTAGGTTGTCATTTCTTTCTGCGGTAGACCAGTTGCCATCCAAGGCTATAGAACCCGTAGCTGGAGGCAGAAAAGGATTCATACCTTTCCCAAGGGTATTAGCACGTAAGTGAATGTAATGAATTCTACTAGAATTCGAATTTGGCTCTCCGATTCCTCAATCCGAGTCGCTATCCATTACTCCACAGTGGTTAAATAGGGGATGGAAATGCGACATCCAAATTCGAATATAGACCGGAATAGCAAAAATGTATTCCAAAAGCTAACACAAATAGTAAGGAACTGGAGAATTTCGTTAGAAACTAGAATGGTAACTAGGTCTCACTGTTTTACTGTTGAACTAGCTAGATGCAACCGCCACTTCCACTCATTTCTTGCTTCCCTGATAACTACAATCTTCAAAAAATTAAATGCAATGTCAATCGCCATCTTCCGTCTTCTTGAATCTTGTTTCATTTTTTTTTCCCTCAATTCTTTCCGTTCTCAGACTTCTCATTCTCTTCCACTTTAAGTCCCTGAAACCTCCTGTGTTCTTGTGGCATAGTTGCCTTGCTTAGGGTGAATCGATTTTTAAAAAGGAACAAAGAAAATAATATCCAACTGCTATGTAATATCCATCCTCCTATATAGCACTAAATGCTGGATAATATAGACGCAGAGAAGAATGCAAGCAAATTTCGCTTTACAGAAGAATGGAGTATACTACAAACGGAGAGCGTAAGCAACGATGAAGTCCTTAAGAAAATAGAAACAAAAAAGACAGCTGAAAATTCTTAGACACATAATGTGGAAGCCCTCCTTGGGATCTATCTTAAAAGTCCGCACAGAGTGAGGCTTTTAAGCTAGTAATAAATAAATAAAAACTTGTGAGGTCTAGTGACACTTGGTCGGAAGTCAAAAGTTCCCATCTACAGGCTTATATTAGTAAAGTTTGGAGAAACAGGAAGATAGGAGCTGGTCGCTAAACCAGTCACGTCGGTAGCAGTCGCTCGATATTAATAGGAAGAGACGAAGTGATCTATGTACAACTTTTCTACTGCCATGGAGAATCCATGAATAAAATATCAAATAATTAAAAACGTCTTTTCATTTCTTGCTGTAACGTTGATTTCATCTTTCGTCCTTTATGACATCACAAATCCTACCTGGAATTGCGTTAGTGGGATTGATTAATAAGCATGCAGCAAATAATCACCACGCCCCACGGAGGCGGGGGTGAATAATTAAAAAAAATAATTTAATCGTATTGGTACTTGTATTTAGAACACAAGAATAAGAGATTGTTTACATGAACGCATTAAAAAAATTTAAATTACAAAAACTTTTAAATTTTAATTGAAAATTAAGAAAACATAACAGTTTAAAAGCCTCTTAAATTCCCCCCTCCCGTATTTTTAAGCTTTCCTGTAGGAAAGCTTAAAAACACAGACACAAATCTGAATGGCGAAATATCCGATTTTGAAGAATACGTCTTTTTTTTCCAAAAAATAAATCGGTAATTTTTCTCATGTGTAAATGTATTTATAGAGTGTAGTTCTTCCAATTAGTAATTCAGACGAGCAAATTTTTCACCTTGCAGAACTTGCCGAAGAAAACCAAAAGAAATTTGCTTTCATATTTTTTTCTGAAATGTCTCGTGCGAATGCCTCAACAATTTTCAATTAAGCCTTTAATGTCTTTTTTTGTGTTTAATTTTACTTCACGCCCAT